GCAAAAATCTCTCTAAAACAAAAACAAAACACAAAACCCAGTGTCCCGTTGGCCAGGAGCTCAAGGAGAATAATGGGAGAAGGCAGACAACCAGAAGTCAAGATACAATGAGGGGGCAGGACAGGAGGCACATAGGTGGAGGGGCAAGGAGGCAGGGAGGCCTCACTGAGTAGGAGACACTTGAGGTGAGAGCTGAAGGGTGAGGGAGCCAGGCAGACATGTCGGGGGAAAGAACCCCTAGGTAGAGGGCCAGGCCTGGCCAATAGTGCCAGGGAAGAGGTGTGGTTGGTGAGTTTAGGGAGGGAACCATGACGCCAAAGGGGTTGGTGAGTAGAGAATGGACTGCAAGAAGGGTCAGAGGCTGAAGCAGGGGGCTCGGGAGGCTGCTGCAGCTGTCCAGGCAGGAGACAATGGCAGCCCGGACTTGAGTGGTGAGTGGAGATGTGAGGAGCAGTGGGCTTTGGGTTATTTTGAACATCAGTCCGACATGATTGCAACGGGTGGTGATTTAATTAGCTACTGCTGCAAAACGAAGCAGCCCCAGTCAGGAGCTTGAAACAACAGAAATCACTCCTCATAGTTTCTTAGGGAGGGGTTTGCTGGGCATTCTGGCTTGGCATCTCTCATGCAGTTGCAGCTGTGGTTAGTCAGTGGCAGGAGCTGGAGCAGCAGGGCAGGAGCAGAGGGCACTGCCTGGGTACCTCTCTTCTCGGGGCCCACCACTTGGTCCATGTGGGCTGGTTGAGCTTCCTCACAGCATGGCTGCTCAGGACACTCGAGGCCAGTGGCCCAAGGGAACTGAGCAGAAGTGCTGTTTCTTTTTATGACAAAGCCACAGAGCACACTTCTGTAGGTTCCAGTGTACCCAGATTCAAGCAGAGAGATCTCAGGCCCCACCTCTGCACAGGAGGGAGGCCGATGCTGACTGTAAGAGGAGTGTGCAGGGTGTGACGTCTTGCTGGTCATCTCTGGAAGATGCCACCAGCTGTAGATGGACAGAGATGCATTTGGGACCTGTTGCCATGTGTCCATGGGGTGCCCAGCCTCTTCTCCTTCTGCCTCATTTGTGAAAGGGGACAGACACCAGGTATGACCTCAGCTGGGACCCCCTGACTTCACAGAGACAGGTGCAGTAGACTTGTGCTCCCCCCCTCCTTTTCCTTGCATTAGGGAAAAGGTTCTCGACAGAGAAAATGGAAACAAACAGGCAACGAGGGGCTGCGCCTTGCGGCGTCTGTTATCCCTGCACCATCTGCCTGGGCCTCCGTGTGCACGTGTGTGTGGGTGTGTGCACGTGTGCTGGGGTGTGCGCACTCTCACTCGTGCCCGTGAGTACGTCTCTCCCCACCCAAGCCCGCAACTTCTCCTGAGCTATAAGGATGACCTGGGCTCCCGCTGGCTGCCTCATCTCATCCACATGGCCTGGTCCTCCCTGGTCCAGGGAATCCCTCTCAAATCCAGCTCTCCGGGCAGCCACCCTGGCCCATTGCCATCACCCTGCGCCTCGTCCTGATTGTTCCTCACTCTTCCTCGGCCCTTGTCTCCAGAGCCCACTGTGCACCTCATCCGCCCTGTGAGAGTCCAGCAAAGACAAAGATGGAGGCTGGCCAGGGGTTGCCGGGGCAGGGGAGGGACAGAGTGGACTAGAAAGGAGTGCCAAGGGACTTTTAGGGGTGGTGCAAACGCTCTACATTCTTTTCTCTTTTTTTTCCCCCCAAAGTTTACCCACGTTACGCACAGCAGCATGTGTCTGTGTGCAGAGGGGCAGGGAGAACCGTCAGTGGGGCTCCACACCCCGGCCCTCCCCGTCCTCCACTCCTCAGGATCCCGGCTATTTTCAGGGCTCCAACTGCAGATGGCCATGTGGCTTCCAGCCCCACGATGCTCTACTTTCTACAGCGTCTGCTTTCAGGCTGAGGTGGGCCATGCGGCTGAGTCCAGAGGCATTCCACGCTGGTGAGTTTCACGTGTGGAGATGTGGCTGCGGTAATGCCGCCGCCAGGCCTCCCCAGGCTCCTCACCCCACCTGTGTGCTCCTTACAGCTCCTGGGAGCCTGGCCCTGTCCTAGGCCCGGGGCAGAGCAGCAGACCCGACAGGATCCTGTTCGCAGTGTGGACAGCTGCGACAACAGTGACACAAGGCCTTTCAGGCAGGGGTGGCAAGATGCTGAGAGGGAGCCAGAGCAGCCTAAGAGAGACCAGGCTGCTTCAAGGCCTTCGGCACCTGGCCTCCCCTCACAGTCCCCCTTTTAGGCTGGGTGGCCCAGTGGCTTGGGGTGGGGCCAGGGTGTAGCGAGAGGGGACCTGATGACCTGTGTGTTCCACCCCAGCAGGAGGCGATGCCAGTGAGGAGGGGACACAAGGGCACACCCTGTCGTCCTCTCAGTGGCAGGGGCGAGGGGACAAGCTGTTTCGGGTCCCATGTGCAGCCCCGGGCATGCACACGAAGTCAGTGGCATGCATCGTCCGAGGCCTGGGCACACACATCTTGGTTTGGACACACGCGGACACCTGGACTCCGGCCAGTCTCCACCCCAGATCTGCCCGCTCGCTGTCACGGCAGTACAGTGGCCTCTACTCTCCGGGCGCACGGCCTCTGGCTCAAACACACAGACTGGTGCACACACGTGTGCACAGCACACAGCACGGGCTCGTGTTCACTGAGCGCTTACTCTACATACTTTCTTCAAGTTTATTTATTTCTTGAGAGAGTGAGGGACAGGGACTCGGCTGCAGTCTTACCCCTGCTGTCGTGGGCAGGTGGCGCTCACCACCCGTGCTGGCGGGGGACCTTTGATCTCAGTCTTCCCAACAGCCCCGAAGGCAGGTGCTGTCCCTAGCCCACTTTACGCACGAGGACACAGGCGTCCGGGCGCAGGTCGCTTCCATCGAGGGCTGAGACTGGCAGCAGGACTGGGATGAGAAGCCAGGCTGTCTGGTATTTGGGGCTGTCTGCAGAGACTGCAGGGAACTCCCATTTCTGAAGTCTCCTGGCCATTTGAGGCCCCAGGCCACGTGTGAGGACCGCACCTCACAAAGCCCTCTCCCACCCTGGGACAGGCTTAGTATCCACACTGTAGACAGGACACCAAGAGACAAAGGACGGCTCCGAGTTCTGCTCAGGTCATGCAGGGCTCGATGGCAGAACCAGGACTGGACCCCCGGGCCCCCCCTGGTCTCTCTGTCCCTGCCCTTGGGGACTGTAGTCTCAGGTCTTGCCAAGCAGGCCTGAGACCAGCCCTCCGGGGGCCTGAACGCAGCAGGCTTCTCCTCTATGCCTGTCCGTGTGGGCGCCTGACTTAGCTGGGCCCAGGACTGCTGAAGACTCCGGAATCCGAACCCCCGAAGAAAGACGTCCGAGCTGGTCTGAGAAGAAACTGGGCAGGCCTGTGCCCGTCGGGGAGAATCGAGGCCCCTGCACCTTTCGGGGTGCGGAGATCTGGCCCAGAAAGTGCGGCTCCCCTCCCAGGCACACTCCCTGTCCTCTGCAGGCCGTGCCTGGCCAGGCATTGTTCGGAGGTTTAAAAATAAAGGCTTCTTGGCCTGGGCCCTGCTGGCAGGGGAGGAGGGCAGCTCTGGTCCAGGCCTGAAGGGCATCTGGCTGGAAATGGAGGCCTCACCCAGCTCCACCATGGCAGGGCTGGGAGTGCGGGGGGTCCCTGGAGAACGATCAGCACCCCACCTTCTCGTCTGAGAGAGGCATGAGCGAGTGAGTGGGTGCTGGTGCCCTCTGCTCACTCCAGCTGCTCAAGGCTGCCCCTGACCCTCATCAGAAGCTTCTGACAACCCGGAGCCCATGGAGGACAAAGGCCCCCCCAGTACCCCATCTTGCCCATCAGCTGACAGCCTAACAGCTAGGTCCCTATAGCCATGGAGGGTGGGCGCTGTTGATATCATTAGACGAATGAGGAAACTAAGACTCAGAGAGGTTTGGTAACTTGCCGAAAGCCACGCAGCGAGCCAGTGGAGGAGCCAGGGCTTAAACCGAGGTCTGTCGGATCTACCCGGCACCCCCCTGCCACTCACCACCCACTGCTCCACCTCCCCCATGTTCCCATTCCAGAGGAAGGAGGCTTTCGACCTCTCTAAGTGGCCAGGGCTAGGGGACACCGACTGCGGTGGTGGGAGGGGGACCAGCAGATAGAAAGCACGAGTGCGTGGGGTCCGGGCATGGTCTCCATTTAGTGGGTGAGGAGACGGAGGCGCAGAGAGGCAGGCACCGTTGAGACGGGATTTGAACCCAAAGCCTTCCCTTACCCAGTCTGGAGGGTTAATAGGTTCCCTGACAGAGTCCGGTGTAAACCAAGGCCCCCGGAAGGTGGATGAGGCTGAGGCACCAGCTCCGCACCCCAAAAACAGGGTCAGCAGAGAGCCCAGGGCAGCTCCTCGTGGGGATGTCCCCACCTGAGACTCGGCAGAAGGCCCCACCAGCCCTCCCCAGTGGCGCATGGCTGCCCGCCTCCCCATTCCAGACTAGATCTGGTGATCCCCGTCCACCCCCGAGGCCTCTGCCGAGGCTGGCACGCTGGTGCTGGCACCGGAAAGCGACATTCCAGAGCCGCCCCCCTCCCCCAACTCCCTGCCAACCCATTCTTGGCAGAGCCAGAGAGCAGGGGCTTCTGGGAGATGTCAGGGCAGCAGTGCGGGGAGAGGGCTGTGGCTGGAGAGGATTGTGGGGGGGGCTGAGCACCTGTCCACAGGCTATGGGGAGGGACCAGGTGAGAGACAGGACAGACCTCCACCCAACAGGAGCCTGGATGGGGGCCCCAGCTCAGCCTGCAGACTCGGGGGAGCCGCCGGGAGGAGTGTCTCAGATGAGGCGTTCTTGAAAAGATGTGTACTTTTCAGGCGGCAAAGCCCGGCTTACTAACTCCTGTCAAAGGGCTTCTGGGAGCGTTCTGCTTCGAGGCACATGCCCTCTCTGGGCCTCAGAGACGCAGGAGAGGACTGCAAAGGTAAGTCTTGAAAGTGCTTCTAGAGAATCGTTTAGGACACTCCGTTTTTATTATTCCACATTGCTGTGACCATCGCCTCGTCCCTGGTCTCACCCCATCCCATCTGTACACAGCAGCTAACTGCCCGGGTCACCACCCCGGGCGCGTGCGGGATGCTGCTCACACAGGGCATGTCACGAGCCCCTCTCTGGTCCCTGCTCCTTCCTGACCCACAGTGCCCGCGCCCACCCCTGCTCCCTCCTTCCAGCCATAATGACGTCCAGGCCAAGCCTCCAGCCAGAGATGCCTTCCCTCCTGGGGCGTCTGTACTTGCCACTCCTTTGCCTGGAGGGCTCGGCTCCACCCAGATCTTCGAATAGTTCTTTCTGGTCATCCAAGACTCAGCTCAAATGTCACCCCTCTGAGAGGCCTTCCCTGACCCCTTGCTCAAAGCAGGGCCCTCCACCCACCTCAGTTTCATGATCCCATTTCGGACTGACTTCCCCTTTACCGCATCCTCACGACGGCAATCGCTCTGTTCCTTTATTGATTACTTGTGACTGTCCTCCTTCCCTCCGGGCTGTCCAGTGGGAGGGCACGCAGCGCTCTAGGCCTGAAGGAGCCCGAGCCCTGACCCTTCCCCGGGAGCTCACTGCTGCTTCCCTCCACGGTCTCCCCCCGGCCGATGGCCAAAGTCTTGTGGATGGCACGAGGCCAGGGAGGCCAAGGAGCACCAGCTACGAGCCCAGCAACCCAGGCGGGTGGGGCAGGGCAGGACAGAGCAGATGGGAAGGAGAGAAGCAGGGAAGACCCTGAATCTGGGTCCCCAAGAGGCTCCGCTCCCCCCAGTGCAGGAGAGCGTCCTGGGCCTGGAAACCCCCAGGTCTGGCTCTGGGCAGGCAGTTCTGGGGTGACCTCATCGCCTTGAAAGGAGGGCAGCAGGGGCCGGAAACAGAGGACGCATCAGATGGGCTAAATTTAGAGTGTTTGATTCAGCCCAGGCCGGACAATATTCCTGGAGTCCCCATTGTTAGTAAGGGGCCAGAGGGCAGGCTGCCCGTTGAATGGCTGGGTCTGAGCCATGCCAAGCTGTCTAGCCTGCAGAGGTGGGGGGCAGTGGGTGAGGTGGCCCCCTCCTCGCCGGAGACAAAGCTAGGCCAAGGGTCAGAGCAAAGCCTGGTGAGTAGGGCTCTGAGGCTGCAGCCTTTTGGCTTGAGGTCAAGTGTGGGAAGGGGTCCCTGAGCTGTGTGACCTCCGGACAGCTGCGACAGCACCCTCTGCTGTCTACAGGGGTGCCTGAGGCTCAGACCCAGGCCCAAGGCCACACGGACACCCTTGTGCCCCAATGTCCAGCCTAGGTCAGCAGCACACCAGTACCCCAACCCGACGTCTTCTTGCAGACAGGGCCCTGCTGCCCCACCGGGCCTGGCAGCTCTAGGTGGTCAGGGAGGTGGCTCAGCCTGCGGCCTGTACAGGCTCCAGAGCCATTGCCATGGCAACCTGGGCTGAGGCCTGCGCTGCCCTGGAGACGAGCCTGAAGCGGAGGACCTACTCAGGTGAGGAGGATAGGCAGGGGATGCCTCTGACCCAGGCTGGCCAGCGCCAGGGACCGGCCAGCAGCCCAGCCTCGCTGCCTGGGCTCAGGCTGGTGTGGCTGGAGCTCCTTGCAGTGTCCTGTTTCTGTGTCCACAGCTCCTGCCCACACCGCAGCCACAAAGCCAAAGGAGGGGAGGATCGTCCTCAACCCAGGGCCACCCCTGCAGGTCATGGCTCTGCAGGCCAGTGTCCAGGACCTTTCCGCTCCTGTCCTAGTCCCCTACCTCCATCCCGCAAGGCCCATCTAGGCCCAGGGAGCCCCTAGCCCCTTGCCCTGGACATGGGGGCTGGGGGTGGTAGCAGGCGTCCAGTGGGCACGCTCTGTCCACCCCTGTGACAGGCAGAGGGGAGGAGCCAGCAATGCTCTGAGCTCGGCCCCTGCTCTGTCTGTCTTCCCAGCTCAGGGAGGGCCTTGGAATGAAGCCAGCCCCCTCACGTTCTGGACGAGTAAACTGAGGCCAAGCTGGGAAGAGGCTTGTCTAAGGCCACCTGTCAGCCTGGGCCCTGCCCGCCCTCCCAGCAGCTCCGCTGTCCTGCCGGGGCGGAGGCCCAAGGCTCCTCTCGATTCCATCGTGAGTCATGTTATGGTGTTCTCAGGAGCTGAGTAACCACCTGAGTTATTTATACCCCGGCTTAGCAGGCTTCCTTCCCTCCTCCCAGAACTCGGGCAGGGAGGACGAGTGGGGGTGGGGAGGGCCCCGGGAGGGGGATGTGGACTGTGAGAAGGCAGCTGAGCACCCCCACATCCCCTCCCCGGGTACCGCCCCCGGAAAGCACCCAGAAATAACCGTGATCATCCGGGCAGTACAGCATGCTGGGCCTGGATCTATGGCATCGATATGCAGGTATCAGGGTGGTTTGGGGAGGGGGGAATTCCTTTCCCGAGCGAGTCATCCGTCTGGAAAAATAAAGAAGGAAAAAGCTGAAAATTTTCCTTCCATCAAAACAGGAAGGAGCTGGGGATGGACGGGAGATGAGGGGTGGAGGTCTTCAGGGAGGGGAAGCCCCCGGCGCCTGCATACCGGCCACGGGCCTGCTTGTGGGAGGGGTGTGCCCTGGGTGTCTCCCATGAGCAGCACCCTGGCTGTTAGGGGTGTTTTTGTCTCCCCTCCTCCCAGGCCTGTGCACATTCATGTACACACACAGACGCCCATGTGCACACAGACCCCTAATCACACCAACCTAACTGGGCACGCTCACCTCCCCACACCCCCCCACCAGCTCCCACGTGGGAAACACCTCGCTTACACGGAGTTGGCAGGACGGGGTTGGAATCTGCCTTTCTCCTTTCTCTATTCTCCCCTTCCCTGAACACTGTGCGGGGAGTCCAGTGACTTAAGTTCAAACCTGGCTCGAGCTCTAACCAGCAGAAGTCACCACCCATCTGAGACTCGGTTTTGTCCTCTGACACGGCCCTGTCATCCCTGTGCTGCTCTGGGGCATGTGGAGGCCCAGGAATGGTGTGCGGCCTCGGGGGTAATGGCCACAGTTCTCACATACAGCGCGGTCTCGCCCTACTTCCGTCTGCCAGGTGAGCCCCATCCCCGGAGGAGGCAGTTCCAGAATCAACTCACCCAGGGCCATGCACTGAGACACAGTGGACCTTGTTCTCATCCCGGGAACCAGAAAAAGGGTCCTATCATATTCCTGAGGAGGAAGGGAGAAGGGTGAGAGAGAGGCCCATCCTCCCAGGGCCTCCAGCTCCCGCCCGGGACCACAGGGACAGCGCTGGGTCTTCAGCAACGTGCATCTGCACTCGAGGAGTGCTCGCTGGGGACTGTGATGGTTACTGTTAAGACGATTAGTCACTCCCGCGGTGACCCTCTGTTTGCTTACTGAGTTACGTAACCTCTGCCCGAGGGTGTTTGCACTGCTGTCTGGTCTGTCTGTCTGTCTTCCCGCCTGCCTGCCTCAGCCTGTAAGCCCCTTGCAGGCAGGGGGCTCTAGAGAGGTGAGCTGGCAGTGTGGTGCCCCCTTCCTCCTGAGGCACCTCCAGGATGCCCTGCATGTCTCCCCACACCCAGCCCCGTCCTGCAGGTGGGGATACTGGGGCCTGCAGGACGGGGCTGTCTCCTTGTCTGCCAAACGGGGTCATAGATTTCCCTCCCCCTGGACTGCTGGGTGGTTGAGGAGGGCGGGCTGATGCATTGGTTTAAATCACATAAAATCACAATGTTTGACTCCAAAAAACATTTTTTTAAAGATTAGCTTTACATTCACAGCAAAAGTGAGAGGAAGGTACAGAGATTCGCCGAAACTCTGTGGGTGAGGGACTGGTCATGGTTACTTCTGTCACTGGACTCGCATGTGGTTGTCGGTGGTTCGAGTCCTGGACCCAGCAGCCTGAAACTCACACTGGGGATGTGTGTGTGTGTGTGTGCCCAAAATCCCAAGAGGATGGAAGAGAAGAGACTGCGGTGTGGCCATTCCCCCGGAGGGTGATTTCTCTCTTTCTGTCTCTCTCTCTCTGGTGAGCATATACTTTGACTCCAAAAAACATTTTTTTAAAGATTAGCTTTACATTCACAGCAAAAGTGAGAGGAAGGTACAGAGATTCGCCGAAACTCTGTGGGTGAGGGACTGGTCATGGTTACTTCTGTCACTGGACTCGCATGTGGTTGTCGGTGGTTCGAGTCCTGGACCCAGCAGCCTGAAACTCACACTGGGGATGTGTGTGTGTGTGTGTGCCCAAAATCCCAAGAGGATGGAAGAGAAGAGACTGCGGTGTGGCCATTCCCCCGGAGGGTGATTTCTCTCTTTCTGTCTCTCTCTCTCTGGTGAGCATATACGCCCTATAGCAAAAAATCTCTCTAAAAATAACTAAAAAAACAATAATAATAATAATCTGTGGGTGAGTGAGGGCAGGGCCCGGGTGGACAGGGCACCCAGGGTGGGTGTGGAGGCTCAGGGCATGATGCAGCCCCGAGCTGCCTGGACTCAGGTTCATGCTGTGCCCTCACATGCCTGATGGGGTGAGGCTGCTGCAGACCTTGGTTTCTCCATCAGAAAGAGGAGGGTGAGACCACTCCCCCCTGCAGGCACCGCGGCAGCAGTGCAGGCGCAGGCGAGCTGTTAGGCCTGAGGGGTGAGGCGGGCTGCCCGAGGAGCGAGGAGCGTGCTGCGCAGCCTTCGTTGGGAAGGACATGATATGGGGTGGAGAGAGGCGCGGGAAACTGAGCCACTCTGTGGGGCTGATCCATGTGGCTTCCCAGAGACTCCCTTGGGTACTCCAGGCACACACTGAGGCTGGCTGAAGATGCGGATGAAGAGCGAGGCCAAGACCCTGTTAAAGGTGTTGTCTGTCTCTGAGGTGCTCATGGAATAAATAAATATACTTAAAAAAAAAAAGAAAGAATCGTAACTGAAAAAAAGATTGGTGGGCCGAGTAGATGGCGTGGAGGTTAAGGCAGGTCGGTCCCACGTGGGTCCCGCTCGGTGGCTTGAACATCACAGCAGGTGCATGGGTGTGCATGCCCGAAATCCTGAGAGGAGGGACTGCAGCGTGGCCATCCTGCTGGGGGGTGATAGTTCACTTCCCCCACCTCTGTGTCTCTCTCTGGCACACGTGCCCTGGAGCAAAACTAAAAAAAAAAAAAAATTGACTGTTATAGCATAGGTAGCTTCTCACTGTGGTCCCTGCAGTGACAAATCGGGCGACTACGTGGGAGTCCAGCGACTTAGCCATTATGCTAACTGCTTGTTCCTGACAAATCACTTCTAAAGGCTGCCTGCTCCCTGCCTGCCCCCTCTCCCTCCTGCCCCATCCCTCCCAGAATTCCCAGTCAGATCCTTAGAACAGGACAGAAAGGACTCCTGAATTGGCAGGGCTGTCTAACTCATGCACAGTAGTTTCCTGCCCAGGGGGCCACAAATGGCTTCCACCCCTGCGGTGGTGGGCAGGTCCCAGGGTCCTCCTGAACCCTAGGGCCCATGGCCTCCAGTTGTGCATGCCTTCCTCCCTTTGGTCTCATAATTCTCTGCGTGCATAAAGACATGAAAAAGGCTGGGCTGCTCCGGTCCAGGCCACACAGGGGGCTTCAGGTAACAGAGGTGTGGACTCCAGCACCACAGCCCAAATCACTTGTTGGCACTGCCACCGGCTTGCTGGGAGACATGGGAGGCTGGCGTGCCTCTCTGAGCCTCAGTCTTTCCCCCTCTAGGTGTGAACCCTTCAAGAGCAGCAGCCCCCCAGAGGGTGAGGACTCCTCTTGCCTCCCTTCGCAATTGTCCAGCCTCCCTTGTGGGCTGTCAGTTCAGGTCGAGCTTGGCCCAAGGCCTACTCTGGGTCAGGCTGTCACGACTGGCCCAGTAGGTGACTAGTTATATAGCACAGTTAGGATGAGCCCTCTCTGGGGACAGCCAAGCTTCGTGGCTCGAGGTGGGGAGGGGCTCAGCACCAGCTCCTGGTAGGGACATCTCCTGGCCCGTCTGGCCCAGCCCTTCCCCCCAGGAATCGAAGGACCTCACTCCAATTCCAGCCAGCTTCCAGGGCAGGTAGATGCCAGCTGCCCGTCCAAACATCCTCTTCCTCGTCTGGAGGAGCTAAAAATGCATCGACTCAGCCCCAGGAAAACAAACACCGAGCTTCCCTTGCCTTTGTACACAGGACAAGGCCGAGGCCGAGGGTGGGCTCCTTCAGGCTGGCCCGGGCTGGGGGCTGTCTGCCTGCCTTCCTGGGGGTCTCCTGTGCTGCCTCAGGTACCCGCAGTTGCAGGGCGTGGAGGGGCTCCGCGGCCCCGGTGAAGGCCTGTGGGCCTCCCGGCCGTAGGCTCCTCTCCCAGCCCGGCTCTGGGGCGCGAGGCGAGTGTGTGCGTGGGTGCGCACGTGCACATGCGGCGTGAGGTCGGCATCTGGTGAGTGCTCTGTGCTTTCAGATCACACTTCGCCTGATCAGGTGGTCGTCCACTTTTCACAGAGAGGGAAACTGAGGCTCAGCGGTCAAGTGGTCAAGCTCAAGGTCACAGAACTAGTACATGGCGGAGCAGGGCTTTGAGTGAGGTGGTCTCCGATGGCCTCTGACAGAAGCCAAGTCTCTTCCCTTTCTGAGCCTCATTTTCCCCATCTGTGAAATGGGCACAGAGGGTGGTCCTCCCTCCCCGGTGGTTGTTAGGGTGCAGCTGGGCCAAGGGTAAGGAAGGGCTTAATAGAGAGCCAAAGTCCTGCAGATAGGGAGGTCGGGGATAGGACAGCGCAAGGGTTCTGGGAGAGCTGCCACGTGGATGTGGGGAGCCCAGGAACGGAGTCGCAGACCGTTCGTGGCATGGCCTTGGACTGACCTCAGTTGGGGCACCAGGTCCTCTTCCATCAAGCAGGAAGAGCAAGGGCAGACTCGCTGGCAAGTGGCCCTAACACGAGTGATGGCCCGAGGCTGTCCTGGGTCTGCTGTCTCAAGATTCTTCAGTATGACATTGCATTGGGGTACCCCTTAGCTGCCCTGTGCATCCTGAATTTAGAGGTTGAGCCATGTGGCTTCCCAGAGACTCCCTTGGGTACTCCAGGCACACACTGAGGCTGGCTGAAGATGCGGATGAAGAGCGAGGCCAAGACCCTGTTAAAGGTGTTGTCTGTCTCTGAGGTGCTCATGGAATAAATAAATATACTTAAAAAAAAAAAGAAAGAATCGTAACTGAAAAAAAGATTGGTGGGCCGAGTAGATGGCGTGGAGGTTAAGGCAGGTCGGTCCCACGTGGGTCCCGCTCGGTGGCTTGAACATCACAGCAGGTGCATGGGTGTGCATGCCCGAAATCCTGAGAGGAGGGACTGCAGCGTGGCCATCCTGCTGGGGGGTGATAGTTCACTTCCCCCACCTCTGTGTCTCTCTCTGGCACACGTGCCCTGGAGCAAAACTAAAAAAAAAAAAAAATTGACTGTTATAGCATAGGTAGCTTCTCACTGTGGTCCCTGCAGTGACAAATCACTTTTTTTTTTTGAGAGGTTTTTCACTATAGGGTGCGTGCGTTCGCCAGACAGACAGAGAGAGACATAGAGACAGAAAGCGAGAAATCACCCCCCAGAGGGGATGGTCACGCCGCAATCCCTTCTCCATTCTCCTCTCGGGATCTTGGGCACGCACGCACACGCGCCCGGCGTGAGTTTTAAGCCACCAGGTCCGGGACGCAACCGCGGTCGACTACGTGGGAGTCCAGCGACATAGCCATTATGCTAACTGCTGGTTCCTGACAAATCACTTCTAAAGGCTGCCTGCTCCCTGCCTGCCCCCTCTCCCTCCTGCCCCATCCCTCCCAGAATTCCCAGTCAGATCCTTAGAACAGGACAGAAAGGACTCCTGAATTGGCAGGGCTGTCTAACTCATGCACAGTAGTTTCCTGCCCAGGGGGCCACAAATGGCTTCCACCCCTGCGGTGGTGGGCAGGTCCCAGGGTCCTCCTGAACCCTAGGGCCCATGGCCTCCAGTTGTGCATGCCTTCCTCCCTTTGGTCTCATAATTCTCTGCGTGCATAAAGACATGAAAAAGGCTGGGCTGCTCCGGTCCAGGCCACACAGGGGGCTTCAGGTAACAGAGGTGTGGACTCCAGCACCACAGCCCAAATCACTTGTTGGCACTGCCACCGGCTTGCTGGGAGACATGGGAGGCTGGCGTGCCTCTCTGAGCCTCAGTCTTTCCCCCTCTAGGTGTGAACCCTTCAAGAGCAGCAGCCCCCCAGAGGGTGAGGACTCCTCTTGCCTCCCTTCGCAATTGTCCAGCCTCCCTTGTGGGCTGTCAGTTCAGGTCGAGCTTGGCCCAAGGCCTACTCTGGGTCAGGCTGTCACGACTGGCCCAGTAGGTGACTAGTTATATAGCACAGTTAGGATGAGCCCTCTCTGGGGACAGCCAAGCTTCGTGGCTCGAGGTGGGGAGGGGCTCAGCACCAGCTCCTGGTAGGGACATCTCCTGGCCCGTCTGGCCCAGCCCTTCACCCCAGGAATCGAAGGACCTCACTCCAATTCCAGCCAGCTTCCAGGGCAGGTAGATGCCAGCTGCCCGTCCAAACATCCTCTTCCTCGTCTGGAGGAGCTAAAAATGCATCGACTCAGCCCCAGGAAAACAAACACCGAGCTTCCCTTGCCTTTGTACACAGGACAAGGCCGAGGCCGAGGGTGGGCTCCTTCAGGCTGGCCCGGGCTGGGGGCTGTCTGCCTGCCTTCCTGGGGGTCTCCTGTGCTGCCTCAGGTACCCGCAGTTGCAGGGCGTGGAGGGGCTCCGCGGCCCCGGTGAAGGCCTGTGGGCCTCCCGGCCGTAGGCTCCTCTCCCAGCCCGGCTCTGGGGCGCGAGGCGAGTGTGTGCGTGGGTGCGCACGTGCACATGCGGCGTGAGGTCGGCATCTGGTGAGTGCTCTGTGCTTTCAGATCACACTTCGCCTGATCAGGTGGTCGTCCACTTTTCACAGAGAGGGAAACTGAGGCTCAGCGGTCAAGTGGTCAAGCTCAAGGTCACAGAACTAGTACATGGCGGAGCAGGGCTTTGAGTGAGGTGGTCTCCGATGGCCTCTGACAGAAGCCAAGTCTCTTCCCTTTCTGAGCCTCATTTTCCCCATCTGTGAAATGGGCACAGAGGGTGGTCCTCCCTCCCCGGTGGTTGTTAGGGTGCAGCTGGGCCAAGGGTAAGGAAGGGCTTAATAGAGAGCCAAAGTCCTGCAGATAGGGAGGTCGGGGATAGGACAGCGCAAGGGTTCTGGGAGAGCTGCCACGTGGATGTGGGGAGCCCAGGAACGGAGTCGCAGACCGTTCGTGGCATGGCCTTGGACTGACCTCAGTTGGGGCACCAGGTCCTCTTCCATCAAGCAGGAAGAGCAAGGGCAGACTCGCTGGCAAGTGGCCCTAACACGAGTGATGGCCCGAGGCTGTCCTGGGTCTGCTGTCTCAAGATTCTTCAGTATGACATTGCATTGGGGTACCCCTTAGCTGCCCTGTGCATCCTGAATTTAGAGGCTAACGCTATAAGCCCCCGCTCCACCTCTTTCCATTCTTCCGGAAGGACCTGGTGTATTTGCACCAACCAGCCAGGACTTGGGAGGGGAAACAGGCGAGACGTTTAGTCATGTATCCCTCCTCCAGCAGACATCCATGGAGTAACAGCTGTGTGCTGGGAGCTGGGATGAGGTCCACGCTCACCTAGAACTCGGTCTAGTGTTAGACTGATGAACAGACCAAGTGGAATACCCTGAGGTACATGATATGAGAACCCACAGCAAGCACCAAGCATAGCGGGCTTCCTGGAGGAGGTGCTGGCTAAGCTGAGCCTGGCAAGAGGAAGAGGAGGAGGAGGCATTATTTAGAGGACTGCTTGTTTGAAAAAAGAGGACGCAGGAAAGGGGTTCTTAGCATAGCGTTCAGGCCCAGGTGCCTCTGAGGTCACCCTGTCCTGCCACCTCTAACCCCCGTACGGAGACATCTGGCTTGAAATGATTTCTGCGCTCTCACTCAAGAGCCTGAGAAGTCCCTGAGTTCCAGGACAGGTCTCCTTCCTCTTCCATTTCTCAGAGCGTCTCAGGCTGCACACAGTAGGTGCTCAGCGCTGCTGCTCTGAGTAGCACCCATGCCCCGTATCCAGCCTGAAGCTGTATGCCCCTAAGCCCCTTCTGCGTAAGTCAGACCTCAGGGCGGCACCACGCTTCTCGACTGGCAAAGCCTTTCTCATATACTAACGCAGCTGATGCTCACACAGGCCCCGTGTGAAAGTGTCATTGTCGTCATCACCACCGCCGCCACCTGCCGGGAAACAGCACAGCATGGTGGTTTAGGCATAGGGTTCTGTGGCTGCAGCGCTCGGGTCTAAGCCCCAGCTCTGCCACTCTCTGGCTGTGTGACCTTGAACAAACTACTAGCGTCTCTGTTTCCATTTCGCCATTTGTAGGCGTAAGGTCGCACAGGAGCACAGAGGAACACCACCCAGCGCGCTAGGCTCGGATGGCTCAGTCCGGAGGTAGCTATTAGCATCCAAGTGCAGATAAGGACACAGAAGGTCAAGGTTGGGGTCACCCACCTGCCCAGTGGAGCCCGGTTTTATCTTTGAATCTTTACACTTGGAATCTTGTGTTTTAGGGTCATCTCCTCACCTGCCCCCATCGTGCCTCCCGTCCCTTGTCGCCCTGTCTCCAAACCTCTGTTTATAAATCTTTCTGTCTCCTGGCGGGGCTCCTCCCAGGCAGGGCCTGTATTCGCATTATGACTGGTTCACTGCGCTTTCCCCAGCGCCTGGGACCATGCCTGGTCACGTGCGAACACACGAAGGCTGTGCGGAAGTAAGGTCCCTGCGAAGACGCCCTGCTAAGTGTCTCCAAGTGCGCTCTCACTGAGCCTTCGGCCTCCTAGCCGCCGACACCCAGGAACCCATCAGCACAGACAGAAACTCCCATCACCCCAAAACTTGCTCCCTGCAATTGCAGACTTGTCTCTAATTTATAGAGGAGGAAGTCGAGGTACTGAGAGGTTAAGTCACCTTCGTCACTCCGGGATCTGAACCCAGAACATCTGTGCCCACACTGCCTCCCAGCCCGTGACACTGCCAGGCAGTAATGGCTGAGGGTGGCTGTCTGTGGCTGTCAGGAAAGAGATCCTCCCAGGGAGTCCTCCCTCCTCGGCTCCCCCTCTGCCCAGATCCGAGAAGAGAGGGTGCGTGACTCTCAGCGACCAAGGACATATGCACGTGAGGAGCAGGGCCAACACCCCAAAGGGATGTACAGTATTTGGGTACAGAGGACGGATGGCAAAGACAGTGCAAACGCATGACACAAAGGTGCCCTGAAGCCGGGAGATGCAGGCCCGCGGTGGGTGCTGGGTTCAGCGTGTGCGCGTGTGACACTGTGACTGTGACAGTGTGACTGCTGAAGGCAGGGACATCGCAGATCCCAGAGCTGGGGGCGGAAGGCGTTAACTGTGTGCATGCTGGGTGAGTGGGTGGGCCCTGGGCCTGGAACGGGGGCTGAGGGAGTAGTAAACATCGCAGGATCATGAAGGCAGCCTGGAGAGGATGCCGCAGGGCTGTGGGGGTTTGTGTGACTTTGCAGTTCAACAAATTCAAATTCAGCCAATGCTGGCAGTGCCAGTTGTGCCAGGCAACCAGCTAGGAGGTGACACAGTCCCAGCCTGCAGCTGGCTGGTACTGTCTGCGGGGTGGGGGGTGGCTGGCTCCTGCTGGGGGCTTTCTGCCCTTCCTGGCATTTAATCCTCACAATCACCCTATCCCCACTTCAGGGCTAAATGGAGCACAGAGGGAAAGTGACTTGCCCAAGGTGACCCACGCTGCTCAGTGTGAGGGCAGACTGAATCCCAGCCGGCAGGTTGCAGAGCTTGAGTCCCTTCCCACTGTCCCTGCACCAGGGTGCAAATATTCTATCTGGTCCTGGTGGGCTTGGACTACTGGCCAGGCCATGGAGACGGCGCATCCAACCACACCGGTCCTAACCTGTCCAGAGTCACTGTGCTCGGGGAGGTGGGTGGGAACGGGTCAAACAGTGTATCTCCCCTAGTTCTTTTTTTCCTTGAGGACAGGTTCACGGGCGGGAGGGGAGGGGGGGTCTGCCCTGCTCTGAGACCACTAAGCGCCCCGCCTTCGCCTAGGGCCCTCCCCCAGCTCCCGCCCCCCCTCCCGGCGCTGACTCCCGGCCAGAAGAGGAAAGGCTGTCTCCACCCACCTCTCACACTCTCCCTTCTCCTGTATAAAGGCCGGAACAGCTGAAAGGGTGGCAACTTCTGCAGCCGGGAGCGGCCG